GGCCAGGAAGGGATCATCTGTTCCCCATTATTTGTCAGTTCTCTAGCTGTGCCATTAATTATTATTATTATCATCATTAAGGCCCTGCTTCGCTGGAATAGCATCATTAAATACGGAGGGTTTTTTTTCCTCCAGCCCATCTCGAGAAAGCATGCCTTTTGCAGTATCACCGAAGGCCTTCAACCCCATAAAGGAGAGTCGATGCTGCGGAACCCGCACGCAGGCTGGGAAGGGCAAACCTGCTGGGGGTGATATATTTTCAGCTGGGAATGAAACATCAAGGCTTAGGCTTCCAGTAGCTGACAGAAGCCAGCATCCTGGCATCTGCGGCTCTGGAATTTTCCTACAGAAGCCATTATGATAGCTGAGTGCTTCCACAGCACTCAGTAGGGATAAGAGGAAATTTGGTTAGGCTGATCTTTCTGTACTCATAAGAGTGACACATTTATACCTCTGCCCCCAGAAAACCCCACCTTTGTAAGAACACAGATTATAAACAGGATGTCAAGTTTCTTTTGGGAAACAAACCCCACTAACTCAAAATTTGTGTTCACATAAATGAGACACATTGGCTGCCCTTCCCTCTAGGGCAGGCGTCCTCAAACTACAGCCCACGGGCCACATACAGCCCGCCTAAGACATTTATCCAGCCTGCCGGGTGTTTTTGCCACTGCTGCCTGTCCTGCTCAGCAGCCGACTCATCCCGGGGCCCACAATCCAGCCCTCCAACAGTCTGAGGGACAGTGAACTGGCCCCCTGTTTAAAAAGTTTGAGGACCCCTGCTCTAGGGTTCCCTAAGAAGGACAGAGACCAGCGGCCAGGCACGGTGGTTCCTGCCTCCAGTCCTAGCACTCTGGAAGACCAAGGTGGGTGGATTGCTTGAGCTCAGGAGTTCAAGACCAGCCTGAGCAAGAGCAAGGCACCATCTCTATAAAAATAGCCAGGGGCTGTGGCAGATGCCTATAGTCCCAAGTACTCAGGAGGCTGAGGCAAGAGGATTGCCTGAGCCCAGGAGTTTGAGGTGCTGTGAACTATGATGCCACAGTATTCTACCAAGGGCTCCGGAAACCAACAGAGAACTGTGCAGCAGGTGCTGCACTGGCCCTGCCCATCAGAACAGCAGCAATGCAGGTGCCATTACTGTCCCATTGACAAATGAGCACAGGTGCAGGGGTTAGGTGGCTGGAGAAAGTTTGCCCCAACATCTGCCTTTCTCTCCATCAATCCCACACTTCCACCTCTCTAAACAAAGAGCAGAAGCCATGTTTTAGGAAGACTCAAGTCTACTTCAAGGACCAAACCATTGAGGCACTGTGGAAGGCCAATTTGCATATAAACAATACCCTGATTGAAAATTAACTTTTAAAAATATTAAAGCTAATCTGGCCAGCTCTGTCACTCTTTCAGCTGTAAATGGTAGTTACCACGTGCCCTTTAAGAGCACAGTCACCTACCACATAATGTTTCAGTTGTGGACAGGCCACACATATGCTGGTGGTCATCCCATCAGATTATAGCACCATATTTTTACTGTACCTTTTGTATGTTTCAATATGCAAATTCTTACCACAGTGTACAGTTGCCTACAGTGTCCAGTACAGGCCCATGGTTTGTATGTAGGGACAGTAGGCTTTGCCTATAGCCTAGGCGTGTAGGAGGCTTCATGTATAGGTTTTCATAAGTACACTCTATGATGTTCACACAACGATGAAATCCCCAAACCACACATTTCTCAGAACACATTCCTGTCTTTACATGTTGCATGACTATAATAACATGCACACTCACAAAAGAGTCAGATTCTCACATTCAGACTAGCTTTCTCCTTGTCTCAATGTTAACTTTTACTGTAACTTTCCCTTTTCTTTGACTGGGAGGTGCTGGGTGTGTGCCTAGACCCAGGTGACTATTTTTCCTTAGCTTCTGGCCATTTTTTCCCAGGTCCAGAAATTCTTGCTTGTGACAGAGCCGTGAGCAATGCTCGGGCAGAAAACCCCACGCAGAATTATGGTGTGGTGTTCCTTTAGTTATTTGTCGTCTTCTTAATAGCTGAATTAAGGGTCTGGAAGAGTTCATTTGAAAATTATTATTAATATTGGACCTGGTCCCAGGTGGAACCAATATACTTTGGTCTTTAAGGAGCAGCAGGTTCACCCAATGAGATAAATTAACTCAGGAGAACAGATTATCATCTGGTGCCTGGTAAGAGATAATTTACTAATTGATATCCTCCTTCCCTGAAAGAATTAATTTACCTCTTGTTGGAGAATAGTTGATTCTTAGGCAGTCATTCTTCTCCATTCCTTCTTCTGTCTCTCAACGCCAGGTTTAAAACTGGGCCATTTCCTGGACCACATCCTAATGAGTTCCTAGTTCATGCTAAGAAAACCTGAGAAAAGAAAAGTACTGCCTTTCAAAACAAATGAAGCGCACTGGTCACTTTATGAAAGGATTTTTCACTTTACTAAAGACAAAGGTGGAGCTGCCTGGTGTAGCGAAAATAAATTTCACTGAAACCAGGGTGCTTTTCAAACGTATGGAGATAAAGGTGTAATTGCAAATTTTCTTGGGTAAAAATTGTCCTTAGAGTCCCACAGTGCCAAGAGTGATGTCCTATACACCCTAGCCATTCGGTAATTATTCACTGAACTGAACTTAATCCACCATGCACTCCCCCAAAGTGTACCTTAAATGCATGGTTCCGCAACTTCAGCTGTATCGACCTCTTGAGCCAGGCAAATCTTTCTCGGGGCAGGGGGTCTCCTGTGCATTGTGGGATGCGTAGCAGCTTCCCTGGCCTCTGATACTGGATGGTAGCAGCACCCTACTCAGTTGTGATGATAAAAAACATGTCAAATCTACTAAGTGTAAAGTATAAACATCTTAACACAGTAATTAATAAAGTACGGCAAAGGCTATGTTAACCTGTTTGTTGTATTTCAAATTGTATATAAAACCAGCACCTTATATCCCATAATTGCATTATTGTACACAGCTATGATTTAATAAAAAAGTAAAATAAAATAAATAAATAAAGTGGCTCTAGACTTTGCCAAAAATTCCCACTGTCAAAATCACCTCCGGTTGAGGACTGCTAGTCTAATGCTTTTTTCTCCTTGAAATCATTTGTTGCCATAGCAAGTGTTTCCAAAATGTCAGCTTGAATCTTTTCTACCTAATGAAATTAGTATTTATTTCAGAGTAAGAAAGATTCCCAGATGTTTCGTCAACTTCTCCACTAAATAATTCCATAGGAAATAGGCAATCAGGGGGATTCCCATTTTCAGAGATTTTCCCTTTTAGACTCAACACACAATAACATATCCTTCAGTGACTTCCTTGAGAACAATTGCGCTTTCTGGCATTGCTATGTTTGCCAGGGAATCTGTTTGTATCTGTACAAAATTTCATTAAGCTTTTTAAAAATGATTTTAACATGCTCCAGATTTTTGTTTTAATATAGAAAGAACATGTAATCCATACCCACAAATTCAATGTTGTCTTCTGTGACTTTTTCCTTTCTCATTACAGGGTCACAATATCTTTGCAAATTTGTCCTCCAAGGAGTATAGTGACCTAATGCAGCTTTTGAAGCAGTCAATATTGGCAACAGACCTCACGCTGTACTTTGAGTAAGTATTGGCATTTGATCTATTTGACAAATGGGTACCTAAAGCTCCATCCTGTAATTAATTTTTAGGTCTAAACTGGGGTTTATCTGCTACTCAAGCATTGGTATCAATGTAGAAATAAGCTAATCGTTTGTTGTTTTTCCTTCATCTAAATCGAGTTCATTGGGGCAGTACGTATAAGCCAAAAGAATCAAGGCTTCAGTCACAAGATTTACATCTTTCTTCTGTTTTATGAGCTTTGTTTGAGACTCTTGACTCTTTAAGTGATGGCTATTTTCAGTTTAGAGAGCTGGCTAATGTTGCTATTTTAAACTATTCTTTCTGGTCAGATCTAAAATGGCTTGATGATGGTGATGAGAAATGTTCACTGATGAAAGTTTAAATCCAAGACTCACTCCCTGCTTCTCTTCTCTCTTTCTTAGAAGAGCTGTCCCCCCTTTTCCCACAGATCAGGCCTCTCTCTAAGCTGGAAATTTCATCTCCCCCTTTCCAAGTGAGACCTGTTCCAAGCGAGACCTCCTCTTTTGGTAGCCACACAACTTAAAGACCACACAACTTCCCTCCCTTAAAAAGTTGTTTTATGGATGGACCTAGATAGTTGCTCAAGCTCCAGCCATACTTGACCTTATGGAGAGCTTTAATTGATTTTCAATTTACCTTTCTTTTCCTTTTTAAAATAAACAAAGCACATCAGTACCTGTTTTCCTAACACCCATTCACACCATGAAGAGCAGAGTTCACCCCCACCCCCCACATTCTATCAAACTTGTACTCTCAGAGATCCCCAGAGATTTTCTTGTCTCCAAATGTAATGTTCTATATCCCTTCCTGATATCTTCTAGTGTCTCTGAGATACCTGAAGGTTTGCTGACTTACTGCCAATTTCTGCTCTCTTTGCTTCCTCAACATCCAGTTGCCTTTTCTGTCTCCTTTTTTAGATCCTTTTGTGGGTTTCTTTTCTCCTGGCTTCTCCATTTGAGTTCTTGAACCATGTTCTTCTTTCTCTACTCAAACTCACTCCCCTAAACTCACTTTGTTATCACCTCTATAGATGTCATCAGCCGTGTGCAGAACGCTATGAAATTCTTTGCTCTAACCCTGCCTCTCCTTGTAGACCTGTATCTCCTGACCTTCACTGTCTTTACTGCTTTCAAGGAAAACCTTAAACTTGGTTTGATTTTCAAGGCTCACCATAATCTTCTTTCATGTGACAGAGAGGGAAGCCACTGTTACTTAACACCACAGCACAGTAAGACTTCAAATGGAGTGACACAGACTTCCAAGAAAAAGGAGGAAGAAAACCTTTTCCCCTTTCTTCTTCCACTTCTTTCCTACATGATTTGTCTAGTTTAACCAAGCTGGTCTACTTATTGCCCTTTGAAAACCCTACATAATTTTCCATGTATCTTGTTCATATCATTGTCCCTGTACGGAATCCTGCTCCTTCACTTGCCCAACTGGCTGTAATGATCATCCTTTAAGATCTGTCTCTTCTACCACTTTTTCTAGGAAGTCTGTGTCACTCTGTCTGAAATCTTACTGTGCCTTGGTGTTGTGTCAGTTAAAATAAGGTTCACTTGTAAGGAGAAGAAAGCCCAAAGTAACAGTGGCTTACCTCTCTGTCACCTGAGAGAAGTCCGGATTTGGTGGAGTAGCCATACGAAGTCTCCAGGGACCCAGGGTCCTTCTGTCTCTCTGTTCTGCCACCTTCAACTCATGTTTTCCACCTCTTAGTCCAAGATAGTTGCTCAAGTTCCAGCCATATCTACCTTCCAGACAGCAGCAAGAAGGAAGGTAAAGAAGGGGATGAAAGAAGGCAAAGGAGAAAGGTAAAAGGGTGATGCAGGCTATCTTCTAAGAGAGTTGGCTAGAAAGTGTCACATAACACCTCCTTTATATTTCACTGGATTTAGTCACTTGGCCATAGCTAGCTTCAAGGAAGATTGGAAAAGGAAGTCTTTATCCTGCATAGACATGTACCCAGCTATAAAAAACAGGGATCCTATTATATTAGAAAGAAAGAACAGAAAAAGGAATATTGGGAGAGAGGGACAACTGGCAGGTATTTATAATTGGATTCTGCTGACTGGGTTATTATATGGTGTTGTAGAAAGAGTAAAGACTTTGGAGTTTATATGGGCCTGGATTTGAATCTCCCTTTGGCATTCTAGTTAAACCTGATAGGTTGAGCACAAGTATCTATGTCTTCTCCTTCCTAAAACTCCACTAAAATGATACTAAATATATTTAAAAGAAAAAAAGACATAAATCTGCAAGGAGAAAGGGCAGGCAACAACTGAAAGAGATTCAGTACATTTGTGTTGAAAATGGAAGGTGGACCATCACATGGGAACTGACCCGGTGCATGTGCCCCCAAATATCTACAACTACTAAGTATCAATAAAAAATTCTAAAAAGAATACCTTATCTGAAACTCAAATTATTTTATCTAGCAATCCTAACCCCCCACATACATACAACTCCCACTTAGCTTTTTAATTCCTTAATACTACCACAGAAAAGGATCACAGGACATTTTATAAGCCTCCACTATTAAAGACAGAGGCCAAAACAAATGAAAAAATTCGAATTTAGAGAAAACAGGAAGAAGAAGAAAACAAAAAAATCATTGCTAGTATCCTCAGAAAGCTAAGATATCATGTCCTTGAAATAATAACAGGATATGTTAGAAAATAACATTAGGAGCAAACTTGAAGAAAAAAATGATTTGAAAATTAAAAACATTATGGCCAAAATAAAATATCAAATGAAAACACTGGGAAATAGAGTCAGAGGTCAAAGGGCAGCAGGACAGGAAACACTGCTATTTTGTTATATGCCTGTTAGTGCTGTTTGATTTGTTGACTGTGGGCATGTATTATTTTGGCAAACATAATTGGCAAACATATTTGGCAAACATTTTGATTAATTTTAAAAATATATTTAAAAAAATAAAAATCTCAGCTCTGCCACTAATAGGCTGTGTGTCATCAGACAAATTATTTACCTCTCAGAGCCTCTTTTCTCTCTTTGAGATAACAATACCTACGTTGTATGTCTTAGAAATGCCATAGATATGTAAATGGATTACAAATGGTAGCGTCTACAACCTCATTTGCTTTATAACTTGCTTTATAACCTGTTTATTTTATATGTTTTCTGGCCCTTGTGTTGAGTTCACTATCATGATCTTCAATCTTTTTCTGGATGGAGCCTTCTTGATTTGGGATTTAGGAAATGCCTGTATCCTTCTAATGTTCTTATTTCCTGGCCTTAACACTTGTAGGATTTTGTGGTATTTTTCTCAAAGTAGAAGCGTTTTCTCAAGCCATGTTTCCAAGTAACTTCTAAAGAGAAAAAAAAAAAAAAAAATCTCAACACTTGGCGTCCATTTATCAAACGCTGTTAGGGATGTGCGGAATCACTGAGTGACCGCTGGAATGCAGTCAGGGAAGTTGGTTGCAACTCATTTTCTCATTACTCTGGTCTTATCTTAATGCTGCAGCCCCTGCTAATGTTTGCTGACTCCCAAAGAAGCTGGCTTGTTCTGTTTTCGTCAGCATTATTCTTCCTGAGGTTCTGAATAGCTGCTCATTCTCTAATCTAGACCTTCAGGGACTGATTCACTTGCCTGTCTAAAGTTGCATTAAAGTATTGCCATATTTTTAGCCAAAACAATCACTAGGGTTAATGAGGGAAAAAGCAGCTATTACAAACTGTCCCCCAGATGCTTTTGTTTCATAAATGTACAATTGTGGAACTGGAAGGATCTTAGAAATGATGTCATCCAGTTCATCTTCTTTATTTTGAAGATCAGGCACTAAAGTCCAAATGAGGAAACAGTGTAGGTTGGGTCACGTAAGTAATTACAGTAGAACCTCCATAGCTGACCACCTCCCTAGTTGACCACCTCCTTATGTTGACCTAATTCATAGATTGGACACATACCACACGGATATATCAGTACAGTAGCCTAGTTCCTTATGTTGATCACCTCTGTATGTTGACCAGTTTGTTGCAGTCCCGTGGATGGTCAACTCACAGAGGTTCTACTGTGTTGACAAAACTGGAATCCATTCCTCTTCTTTCAGGGCTTTTTCTTCAATCACCTTTTCTATAAAAGAATCAAGAAATAATTGTCATTTTAATGGGGGATGCATTAATATTGTTCTTCCTAGGTATTCTCTAATCAGTTTAATACAAAAATGAGCCTGGGTTCCCTGTGTCCTCTCCCAAAGCAGAGCTGCAGATAGGGCTTGCATGAAGGTATTTTTGTTTTGGAAATAAGACCCAAGAATAAGACTGAGGGTGCTGGGACAGCAAAATGGAGAAGGACGGAAGCCATTGAAAGGAAGGATACATTTCTTTGTTGGTCATCACTGTGATCAGCTGGGCTTGCCCTGCAGGGACTGTGCAAGAAGCGTCATGTGATGCATGTTAGAATTGTCCACCAGCTGCTATCCTTGCCAGCCAAAGGCTGCTATACTAGGTATGAGTTCCCAGGCACTTCCATGTTGTGCAGGCCTGAGGGCTGGGGATTACTGCAGCCATCCTCATCAGTCCCACACATGGAGTCAGAGCAGGGCCTGGGCAGGAAGTAAGCAATGGGGGGTGGGGGGGGGGAAGTGGGGAGCTACGGAGGAGCAGCTGTGGCACTGGTGGTAGCAGTAACAGCTGGAGAAGCGTGGGTGGGCCAAGTGGATGAGAGGCAGCTGTAGGACCAGGTTCTAAACGTCAACAAAGATTATTGTTAGTTCTTCTGCCCTGACTACTCAAATCAAAAGTCATAATACAGTTAAAGAAAACAAAAAGGAAGCTCACTGCTTTCCTCCCCTGGGAAGAAGAATGTGACTCTAGAAATGGCCTGGATGGGTGAGGAGCAGATCCCAGCCTTTTACAGAGGGCCTTATGTTCCTAGGGGCAGGATTTCCTGCCAAGTTCTAAAAGAGAAAAAATTTAAGATTCATGGAAATATGGGAAGGTATTCAAAACAACCACCG